CAAGCTATTTTATTTATTGTATTTATTCAGTCCGTATGCTGCCGTATGCCCCACGGCTGGGCTACTTACATCCTGGGCCCTCCAGACTTTGATGGTGCGGTCCTGCGAAGAGGAATACAACAAGCCGTCGCCCCCCCACCGGAGGCAAGTGACTGACTGAGTGTGGCTAGTGAGGATCTTGTCGCAGCGGCCAGCCACCGTGTCCCAGATTCGAACGCTGCCATCTTTGGAAGAGCTGGCTAAGTAGCGACACTCGGGGTTCCTAAAGGTAAAGAAAGAAAGAAAGAAAGAAAGAAAGAAAGAAAGAAAGAAAGAAAGAAGGGAGGGAGGGAGGGAGGGAGGGAGGGAGGGGAGGGAGGGAGGGAGGAAAGACAGAGAGAGAGAGAGAAGAGAGAGAGAGAGAGAGAGAGAGAGAGAGAGAAGCTGTTAATTTTGCTCTAAAAATAATCAAAAACAGGCATAGGTTCAACAAGCCAACCCACTGTGTTGCAGAAGGAGAACCTAGGAAATAGAACAGAACAGAATAAAGAATGGAATGGAATAGAATAGAATAGAATAACAGAGTTGGAAGGGACCTTGGAGGTCTTCTAGTCCAACCCCCTGCTCAGGCAGGAAACCCTGTATCAGTGGTGACTAACCTTTTTGGGCTCCTGTGCCAAAAATTGTGCTCGTGCTCGCCTGCTCACATGCCAGCACCTAAAAGGTAATGCGCATGCCCCCCCCCACCCCCCGCGCCCGCATGCCCCAACCTTCCCCCCGCCCCCCCCCTACCTGCACTGCGCATGCCTCCCAGCTGATTTTCAGGCCTTTTTCGGCCTCCCAGAGGCTTGAGGGAAGCCTCTGAAGCCTTTGTGGGCCGAAAAGTGGGCCCGTTTTGTCACTTTCCTGTATTTCCAAAAATACAGGAAGTGATGGAACGGGCCTGTTTTTTTGGCCTAGAAAGGCCGCAGAGGCTTCCCTTGAGCCTCCGGGAGGCTCAAACGGGCCAAAAATCAGCTGTGAGGCACATGCAGGTAAGGTGAGGTAAGTTTTCCTGCAGCTCATGTGCCCGAAAAAAATGGCTCTGCGTGCCATCTGTGGCATGAGTGTCATAGGTTTGCTATCGTGGCTCTATATCATTGCAGACAAATAGTTGTCCAGTCTCTTAAAAACCTCCAGCGTAGGAGAATTCACAACTTCCGGTGATAAGCTGTTAACACTGATTAATTGTTCCAACTGTCAAGGAAACTTCTAATTCTAGCTTTGTTCTCTCCTTGATGAGTTTCCACCCGTTGCTTCTTCTCCTGCCTTCAGGTGCTTTGGAGAATAGCTTGACTGGCTCTTCTTTGGGGCAGCCCCTCAAATATTGGAGGACTGCTATCCTGTCTCCCCTGGTCCTTCTCTTCATTAAATTTAGACATACCCAGTTCCTGCAACCGTTCATGTTTTAGCCTCCATTCCCCTAATCCTCTTTGTTGCTCTTCTATGCACTCTTTCCAGAGTCTCAACATCTTTTTTACATCGTGGTGACCAAAACCGGATGCAGGATTCCAAGTGTGGCCTGACCAAGGCCTTATAAAGTAGTATTAATGCTTCACATGATCTTGATTCTATCCCCCTATTAATGCAGCCTAGGGCTGTGTTGGCTTTTTGGGCAGCTGCAGCGCACATCTGGCTCCTATTTAAATGATTGCCCTAGATGGTTGTGGCCTCCATCTTGACTTTTTAGATGTCCTTATGGCGCTGGGTACAATATTGGATATTTTTCCTGCACCTTAGGTGGAAATGCAGATGAAAACTACAGTAAAGAAATTGTTAGGAATAACAAGGTTACCTAACGTAGTTTGGGTAAAATAATATATATATATAAACTATGATAGTAAGTTTAAGTGTGTGTCACTTTAAACTGCAAAGCATGCAATTTTGGGTGCGGTGTGAAACCGCCATAAGAGGGAGCAAGAGAACCTGTTGGATTACTGAGGATTGCTGGATATACTGGATTGATGGTTTGTTAACTGCGTGTTCCCTGCTGCTGAAGGAAGAGAGGAGTTGTGACTTCTTCATATCTCTACTGCGAAGAGATATATTACTGGACTGATATTTGTAAGTTTACTGACCTCTTTTTCGACACCGGACTTTGCAACTGAATAATCCCCGGACGGACTGAATTAGTGAATGATATATGGACTGTTTGACTATGCTATAACTCTTACTGGAATAAACTATTTAACTAGCACAGTGTATCTGTTTTACTGAGTGTAAGCTACAAAAATGTTTATCTCACATATTTTGCCTGTCTGCCTGACTGCCGTGCAGATTCTGCTAGGGTGTATCCCTAACAGAAATAATGCACAATTGTGATTTAAAGCCAAGATGTTGATTAAAGCTAAAATTGTGATTTAAGCCATGATTAAAATATAAACCACGATTGTAATTTAAGGTCCCTTCCTTTAGAAGTGCAGAGCCAGGGAAGATTTATTTTTGGGAGTGGGGTGTGGGTGGATCTGGAGTGGTGACTTACACATGCAGAGGTTCCCAGCAGAGCGAAGTGATCCACTTAGAGTGACCCACCAAGATACGGCCGATCTGGATCCCGGTGCTTGGATCCCAGAGCATTATCTGCATAGAAAGTTCATGTGGGACACGTTAAGAAAACACCTTCTCAAAATGGTTTATGTGTTTGCGCAGAGATGGCTAAATCGACTGTTTTGATTAAAGAAAAGGAAGAAAAAAACACAATTACTTTTGTTTCCAACTTAGAAACCATTTCTGGACTTTGCGCTCAAGGTGGGGGCGGAAAAAAAGGAATCTTTGGTTTTTGGGTTTTACCGGTTAGATAGATTTGTTGATATAGAAATGGCTAGTTTATACTACTATGTAAAAGTAAAAAAAAGGTGAGCTTTAATGTCCCAAAGGTGCTTTTTTCAAGAGGCAACTGGACTTTCTGGTTTTTCTTCTAAGACGTTTCGCTTCTCGCCCGAGGAGCTTCTTCCGCTCTGACCGGATGGTAGGGAACGGAAGGATTGATACTCCTGGAATGACCCAAACGGGCGTGGCACAAAGGCAACACAGTCCCATAAGTAAGAAGAATCCCTTTAGTACCTCCAACTTTGCCCCCAATGTCCAGTTACCTTCGGTTGGAGAAAAAAACTCTCCCAAGAACGGTCTTTAAATGGAGGAAATTCAGTCCGAAAACAAACCGTAAATAAAAATCCACACAAACCAGGCTGCAGTAATTAACTTGACAGGGAAGGAGAAGGAATTGCAGACTTGAAAGGCTGGCAAAACACACACTGTTAGGAAGATGCCAGGAACCCAGATAAGCCTCAACAATACCGGATAATTCACGATTTGCTCTCAACAGTTTGCTGTGCGCAACTTCCCGTTTTAAACACTGTGTTCCCAGTTGCAGCTAATGAAGGGAATCAGGGCCCTTTCCTCCCCTGTAAGCCATGCAACTCATTGCTCCCTTTTCCGTTCCTCCCTGTGTGCCCTAGGATTAAGAGGGGGTGGGCCTGGGTCTTCCTCCGAACTCCCTCTCCCTTGTTCTACCTCTCCCCTGCTCTGCCCAGCCTGACTGTGCCCTTCCCCGGTTCCTTCCACAGCCAACAGAGCCACACTTCCACTGCCTATCAGCTGCTCAACCTCCCCCTCCAAATCAGATTCCGACAGGGGCATAACAACTCCTTGCAGACAGCTGGTCATTTGCATCCTTTTAGAGGGTTCTTGAGGCCACTTGGAGGTTTCCCTGTGTCTTCATGGTCACCTGAATAGTGCAAATGAGTGTGGAGCCTTCTTGGAACTGTTGTAGAAGGCTCCATACCCATCCGCACCACTGAGGAAAACAGAAACAAAGCCGAAAGGAGTACTTACCTGCCCGTTCTTGCACCCAGATGCCAGTTTCCTTCCGTCAGGCGACCAAGCAATGCTCAGCACCCAATGACGGTGACCTGTGGAGGTATGAAGGAGGGAGAGTTACTGGACAAAGTCCACCAGCCGACGAAACCAAAAGATTTTAAAATGCTTACTTTAAGTCAGTGTTACTCAACTGTGGTCCCTTTAAGGCACCTGGACTTCAACTCCCAGAATCCCCCAGCCAGCATGGCATAGAACAGTGCTTTCTCTAACATGGCCACTGCAAGATATGTGGACTTTAACTCCCAGAATTCTCCAGCCAGCACGGGCATAAAGCAACGTTCTTCAATCTTGGCCACTTTTAAGAGGGCCACTTCAACCCCAGCTGGGGAATTCTGGGAGATGAAGTCCACCCATCTTCCATTGGCCAAGACTGAGAAGCCTTGGCCTAGACCAGAGGTCTCCAAACTTGGCAACTTGTGGACTTCAACCCCCAGAATCCGCCAGCCACCATGCCATAGAGCATAGTGTTTTCTCAAACATGGCCACCTTTAAGATGACCACTTCAACCCCAGCTGGGGAATTCTGGGAGTTGAAGTCCAACAAGTCATAAAGTTGCCAAGTTTGGGGACCTATGGGCCTAAACCATCCCCCTTCTGCATGTGAAGACTCACCCTTGGCAGTAAAATGCGGCGTCTCCGTGTTCAGGTCCCAGAAGCGGACGGTGGTGTCCCCAGAGCCGCTGGCCAGGTACCTGAGGAGACAAACTCTCAGGCTGACAGAGCCAAGGCACAGCAGTTGACCAGATGCCATTCAGGGGTCAAAAAAGTCAAGATGGCAACCAAAGCCCACCCCAAAAATGAGCCCTTCAAAGTAGGCCAGACTTAGAAGCCCAAGTCATACAGATTAATAATACAAAGTAGGCCTGCACTGACAACTAAAAATTCTCCATTCAGCTCTTAAAGTGAGGCCTATGTGACGGAGCCCAATTCTGCAACTTATTTTTTTTTGCTGTGGTCGTTAAGTGAGACATCCCGTGATTGGTGACCTTCCCCACCAATGCTGCTTCTCAGGAGGTTGCAAAGGTAACTGCAGGACTCCACAACCGTCACACGGTTGGGATTCTTTTATCCTCGAACGGGCGTTAAACATATGGCTGTTATTAAGCGAGGACTACCTGCACTACTTTTATTACAGGTAGTTCTCAACTTACATCACTTGAGGCTTTCAAGAAGAGACTGGACTGCCATTTGTCAGAAATGGTGTAGGGTCTCCTGCTTTGGGCAGGGGGTTGGACTAGATGACCTACAAGGTCCCTTCCAACATAATTATCTGTTACGACCACAACTCAGTCCCAAATATTCATCACTAACCGAGACAGCTGTTCAGTGAGTTTTGCCCCATGTTATGACCTTTCTTGCCACCGCTGTTAAGCAAATCGCCACAGGCGGTAAGTTAGTCACATGGCTGTGTAGCGAATTTGACTTTCCCCACGTGATCTCAGGACCTGGGACACTGCGACCATCATAAATGGGAGTCAATTGCCAAGCAACCAAATTTTGGTCAGGTCACCATGGAGAGGCCACAACGGTCATGTGTGTGAAAAATGGTCATAAGTCAGATTTTTTTCCTGTGCTGTTTTAATGTCGAATGGTCACTAAAGGAGTGGTTAAAGTCTAGTTATTGACTTTCAACCATTCCTTTAGTTAGTTATAACTAAATGTGCGTTTGCTTACATGTGTATATGTGTGTGTACAATTATTTTGTGAAGATGTGTATTTTGCTTTTATATACAATATAAACATAAAAATTTATATATAAATTTTCTGTGCTACAACTTTAAAAGCACAACTATAATGACATGGGAAAATACGTGAACAAAGCCAAATACCATACATATAAGTATCTGCGAAAACTTAAGAATGAAAATATATATATATTTGTTTTCTTAAGTTTTCGCGGGTACTTACATGTATGGCATTCAGCTTTGTTCGGGTATTTTCCCACGTCATTGTAGTTGTGCTTTTCAAGTTGTAGCAACGTTTCAGCAGAATCTCATCTGCCATCATCAGGCTTCTGTATTGCATTCGTCTGTGAGTCAGACTTTCACAGACGTTTCTGTTTTAAATTTGAGGCTAGCCTACTGCTGTGCCAGAATGGTTTTTTCTTATCCTGATTGGTTGGGAGTTTGGGTCCGTGTTTATTGGTCTTGGAGTTTGCTGTGTTCTGCTTGATTGGTGTTTCTAATATCTCCTGTCTGTTTTGTGGCTTTTTTTGTGTCTTGATTGGCTGGCAACATTGTGTTCCTGTATTGGAGGCTTTAAGTGCAGCTTGGCTCTGAGTAAACGGACGGCTATCATTTAGGAAGCTAGGTTTCATCTGGGTGCCTGGTTGGGGTTTTCTATAGTGGCTAGGGTTTTGGTGCCATTGAAGTTGCTGCTATGACCTGTGGCTTTCATGTGTTGGACTAGTGAGGAAGTGTGTTCCAGTTTTTTTTACTGCATTTTTGTGTTCATCTAGGCAGGTATTTATTCTTCTATTGGTCTGTCCAGTGTATGTGGCAGGGCATGATGCACAGGGGACTTCATATATGACCTGGAAAAGCAGCTACAGAATTATCAGAGAAGCCATAGAGATTGAAAAAAGACCTGAAAGCATGAATAGAAGAGATGACTCCACCAGACTGTCAATCATTTGGAAGCCTGCACTCACAAACAAAAAAATCTCCACACCACAAGCCAGGCAAACACCTGGGCACAAACAGATCCCCCCTGATACTTCCAGCTCAAACACACCCCAACCAGGCACCCAGATGAAACCGAGCTTCCTAACAAATGATAGCCGTCCATTTACTCGGAGCCAAGCTGCACTAAAAGCCTCCAATACAGAAAACACAATGTTGCCAGCCAATCAAGACAAAAAAAGCTACAAAACAGACAGGAGATATTAGAAACACCGATCAAGTTAAAGAGCAGCAACCAGCTTTAGTACAGAACAGCTGAGCTAAGCCACGCCCAGGCTCCTTGCTGTCTCCTTCTTGCTCACACAGCAAATACTCTTTCGGTTTCCAAACAGCCCTCAACTCTCTCACACTGACAGGATGCTAGCCAGATGGATACTGATGGATGCTTGGTAGGCAGAGGCAGAATTTCCACCCTCCCCCATATTTTCCTCCCCAAAAACTAAGCCTGACCAGAGTTTCCAAGCGAAGCACGGGTATAGAGCACATCTCTATCTACACACACACACAGATTTATAAATACCATAGTTATACAGGTAGTCCTTACAACCATTCCTTTAGTTATAGTCATAAATATATGTACAGTACATAAATGTAAAATACATAGTTATACACCAAGTCCTTGACTTGCAACAGTTCATTTAGTGACTGTTCAAAGTTACAACGGCATCGAAGAATGTGACTTATGACCATTTCCCCATGCTTATGACCGTTGCAGCGTCCTCACAATCATGTGATCAAAATTCAGATGCTTGGCCAGTGACTCCTATTTATGACGGTTGCAGCGTCCCTGGTGGGGGGGGGGGAATCACGTGATCCCCTTTTGCGACCTTCCGACAGGCAAAGTCAACAGAGAAGCCAGACTCACTTAACAACCCTGTGACTAACTTTACCACCGTAGTGATTCTCTTAAGAGCTATGTGTTAAGGTATGAAGTTTTAGACCAGGGGTGTCCAACCTTGGCAACTTTAAGACTTGTGGATTTCAACTCCCAGAATTCCTCAGCCAGCAAAGCTGGTTTAGACACTGAGGAGCGGTGAGTAGCTGCACGATGCTGTGAAGCCGATGTAAGTCTGGCTGATGTAACCAGAGAATATGGGTCTTTCCCTTTAAGGCTGGAGAGTAAAGTTCCCTTTAAGAGGTGTGTATATTAAAAGGCAGCCATTAGAGGGTGTGGTTCTCTTTCCTTGTGGCCAGTATTCAGCGCAGAAGTTCTCTGTCTGTTA